GTTTTGTTGTTTATATATGTTGAAACCACGCCTACATCTAATTTCAATGAGCATCAAACAACTATTGCAAATAATGTGATCAGCATTCGTGCTGAACTGCTCTGCATTGGTCAATAAAATGAGAACACATGCAAGTAAATAAGATCAAACGAAAAAAAAACTATCTCGCTCGCACTCACAAACAAAACACTCTTATACATGTGTTATTTATTAGGTTGACTGCCAAGCACAAAACACATGAATGAGTTTTTACAGAGCACAATACACAAAACACAAGTTTCATGTTGCATGCGAGAGCGAGTGGGCTGTAAAAGGCATTAAAATGTTGTTGCTGCATTTGCTGTTGATAACTTGTGATAACGGTGCCCCGATTGTGTTAATCGAGCCAATCAAATACTGTATCGAATGGTCATGTAAAATAAATGACAACACAACACATGTGCAGACAGAACTGAGTTGTTAGAAGCAAAAGTAAACATGCACAAGCAGCCGAAGAGAGTGAACCAAGTAACGAGAGTAGAGTAGAGTAGAGTAGAGTAGAGTAGAGTTCGATTTTAAACAAATCTTGCAGAAATGTTATATACTGTTTTTTTATATGTTAAATTTACTGTTAAGCTACAGTGCGCTTTCCATGTAAAGTAAATGTTATAATAAAAACTGTTAAAATTAACATTTTCATTTTATTCTCTTTTAACATTTGTGTTTGTGTGAGCTGTTCGTGTTTTCGGTTTTTCCACTATTTATTGTCAACATTTTGTCATATTGATGTGCACTACTGTTAACCGTTAACACAATTCTCAATGCCCGCTGTTAAGATCTTATTTTACAGTTGTAATTTTTGGTGTGCGCTGTTGTTGTTACGCTTCGTAAACACAACAAAGCGCGCGGGCTGCTGCTTTGGCTGCTGCTACCACTGCGCTGCTGATCTAAGCATTTTGCAGAACTGTTCAGCAACATCAGTCTTTAGTGGTACTTCGCGCTTCTTGCTAGTTTGAACGTGCGCGAATATACGGCGCGATGTACAATTAATGCGTTCAATACGTGTTACTGGAAATACGTACATAAATAATATTGGATTAAATTCTGTACTCGCTTTACATGCTAAATTATTGGTGCATTCTTGTGAAGTGATTACCTATAGGATCTGGACAATTCCAATGAATTTGGTTGGCACGTGAACTAAACGTTATGTTAAACCACTTTTATCAAATTAACGACGGAATTTTGTTGTTTAAGCATAATTTCACTTATAAATAAAAATTTATAATTGTTTTAAATGCAAAAAAAGAATTAATAATATTTAGTTTTTTAACGAAATTTTTTAACAAATTTAAAATTATAAATATAAATTAATTTAAAGTTTTTGTGATGTGCACGAAAACTATTTGATTGTTTGAGAACGAACCCTAATCTTTGCAAATTAAGTCGAAAAGAAAATAGTAAGTCAATATAACAATAAAACAATAAATAAACTCAAAGTGATCTAAATTGACAAAATCTCAAACTGAACTAAAAAGGAAGATACAAACTACAATGAACTTCACACAATAATAAAAATTTAGAAAATGCTTAAAAGTGTAAATATCAACTCGAAGTTTATATAAAACAAAGGTGTGGTCTAATAACATTTCAAAAATCAACAAATCAACAAATGTAAACGAACAAATAATAAAAACAACAACACACAAATTGTTATTAAATAAGTAAATAAATGATATTTACTGCAAAAAAAAAAAATTTTATTATTAACAAAAATAAATTAAACTCTGAAATTATTTACATAAACGATGCGCTTTGCCATGTTCTCGATCAAATGTTCGACGTCTAAATAAACATTTGGGATTTAACGTGTATATCATAAACGTACGTATATATTCAAGCGAGTATATAGCGAATATATATATAAGACCATTTAAAACGAGCACATCTAGAACAGCTGTGTGTGCTGTATATCACAAAACATATATTCTCACACACATCTATTGAAGACACAAGTACATAACAGTAACAGAGACTGCTGTGTAGCAGCAACAACAACAGCTGCTGCGGCTTTCGGTTGCACATTTACATTTATTTAGTAAGTTGCATTTTTAATATTTACAGTTTGTTGTTGTGATTATATAAATTGTAATTAATTTAATTTAATCTTATATAATTAATTAATTAAATATAATCTGAGGCTCTGTTAATAATATAATAAGTAGAATCTTTTTTATTATAAATATTATTCTATATAGATTAAAATGCTGAGGTAGTGCATATGACCAAAGACTTAAGCGACAAACTTTTAACGAATCACTGACGAAAAGTTGTCGAAAAGCCGAAGAGCCGTAGAGTTTACACTGCAAATATTTAAATTAGAAAACTGAGAAGCACATTGTAGAGCTGCGACAGGACTTCTTTTTTTTTGAAGAAACCTGTACCTTTGAGAAGACTTTGATCCTTTTTTTTTTTTGAAGTGTTTATTGTGGATATTTTTTTTTTTTGTTTATTTAAATGGAAAGCAATATCTTAAATCTTTTTTATTAACTCTCTAAATCCCAAATAGACCTTCATGCATTCCATATTCTAAACTTCCAATAACAACTGATGTTTATTTATAAACTTCTTTTTGAACAAATATTGCTTATTTACTTCAAAACTATATATAAATTTTTTAAACAAAAAAACAATGAGAACTGGAGAGTTAAGGTTATAACGTAGGCAATTGCGAAAAAAAACCAGCAGAATGTACATTGATGACATATTAAAGAAGAAAAAAGAAGAGAATTATATATTTATTTGTGATATTGGTGCTGGAGGTGGTTGAAAATGATAGTAAAAAATTGTTGTAATGATTTTACATTGTGCCAGAAAAAGGAATGTTGTCGAAATTGCTTTGTATAACGCTACAGTCTAGGTTTTAATTTGTTTTTCTATGAGATTTGTTTGAAGAAAAATATTTATATTATGTGGGGCAGCTGACCCCACTTATCACTTGGTCACTTTATAGACCACAATTGAAATTTTATTTGTAATAGATTTCTTTCTCTGTCTCCTCTTCCAAGAAACATTGTGATTGATAAATTTGGTTAATAAATTTTGTAAACTTATATTGTTCTTAAATTTTATACTTTAAATATAAAAACAATTTTCAGTAGTTAATTTTAATTAAGAATAAAATTGAATATGAATAAGTAAATTTAAAAGCATAACAGATAATCAATAATTTAACACGAAATTAAAATAATAAAGCTCTAACAAGCTTTTCGTTTAAAAGTATATACTTGTTATAATGTACTTGATTATTTATAGCCATAGTCTTTCAGAGATATTTATTTAGCCTGTAAAATATTAGTACCAAAACATAGAAAAATCATGCTTTCATCTACAATACTCACTTATATATATGCTTATGAGCTATTTGCTCTTCAAGATTTTGACAGTTTTCAAATATTTTATTTAGGGATTTTAACAAAATAATATAGTTCTAATAATAATAATATAGTATTATATATAGTTTCATACTTTCTACGAAAATTATGCAAAGTATTTGGGATTTTACTGTAGTAAAGTTGTATTTTTATAATCAATTTTCTACACACCACTTTTTTGAAAATGCATCTAACCTTGTTAAAAAAAGGAGTTTACGCAATAGTGCACAGGGATGGTAGCCCTTGCACAGTAGTCCTAGGGTGCAGTCTTTCATGAATTATATATGTGTAGCGTTGATCCTCTTCTTTACGAGTCGAAATAAAAACTGTTAACAACACTGCAAACAACATGTAAAATACATATTTAAATATACTTTGTTTTGAATTTGAAGATAATAAAATATTAAATAATCTATATTTATTTTGTTGAAATAAGTTTATTTCAAAGGGATTTCTTTTTTTCAACAAGAAAATATTTCTATTCCCAACTATATGATAACATCAAAAGCAAAATACTCGTTAGTTTTGTTGTAACCAGTTGTAGTATTATTCCAAGAACTCCAGGAATAAACTTTTCTACAAGCTGTCCAAAAATTTAAGTTTTCCTGGAAAGCAGGGTTATCTCAGGATGGCTTAAAAAAATTCTACAAAAATAATATTCTTTTGAGGTAGTTGCAAACAGAATACATAACTTTTCTTTTGTTTTTGTTCTTTTTTCTAATTGTAAATAATTAGAAATAGTGTAAATAATTCCTAATAAGAACTTTTTAGAAAAGGATAACAAAAATTTGCCAATAATTACATTTGAGGATATCTATAAAATAGTAAGAAGTTCTATAGTGCCCCTTTAATGACCTAAAATTGATCTATAAGTGCTCATACCCAATATTGTTTTATCCCAATCATCAAATTAGTGATATGTTGAATTTTGAAAGTATATACTTATACTAAATCTTCAACTAAATTTAAAAACAGAGTAATCAAATATGATTAACCTTTAACATAATGCACATAAATCATCACATATACTTTTTTTGACTATACTTATGTTAAAGACCTGGTCTAAAATAGGAATATGTGAATGCAGTTTCAATTTATAAATATTTCCATTAGAAGTAAATCATGAACTTATGTGCTAACAAACAATTTTTTTTTGAAATTTACAGTATTTCATGGAGAAATATCATTACTAAGGCAAAAGTATAATTTATAATAAAAATTTTAAATTCCACTTGCAATTTCAATAATTTTTGGAACGTCACTTAAAAGAGTAAAAATGCCTACATCAGGATTTACAAAGTGAAGGAAAATTATTGAACTTGATAACATAAATCATTTTAAAAAAATATGTTCAGAGAATATAATCGTTAATAAACCAGAAAATACAAAATAGAAAACTATTAGAAGTGGTCGTCTTCATTTGAAAGTTTTCTTTTGTAACCGTTAGTACATTATTAATAATTGTCAGTACAAGTAAAAACATCATTGTCAGTTACTATTTTATTAATTTATTTTTATTATTTTCAAATAATATCAAGCTATAAATTTTTAAAAACTTTATGAACATAACTCCATTCACATCAAAAAATTTTTTTAACATCAGCACGAATGCATAATTTTTCAAATATAAAATATACATTGAAAATTAAATCAATTTACATTAGAATTTAAGCATCACAACTTGTCAAAGTATCCAGTTTAACTGATTCAATAAATTTCTTAAAATCCATCCAAATTTTGCAGATCCTCTTGATATAAGAATATTTTTCTATGAAACGGGGTGGCAAGCACGTCTTTTCTATGATACAATAACAAGATAACGAAGTGTTAGTCCATATTTGCAATTGTCTACTACACATAGATAGAATTTGTTTAGATTTCAAACTCACAGCATTACATATAAAGAATTCACTTACTACTTTCTGCAATACTCTAAGCAATTCATTTGGTAATAGACCTCCTACATCGATAAACAAGACAGCAAAACGAAAAAGTCCTGTTCGACTACTGAAAATAAAGTTTGAAAATTCGGGCAAAGAAGAGTAACTGTAATCCACTTACTTGTTATCTTCCAATTTCTATCTTTTTGTGTTTTGCATATTTTTCATTAAAAACCATCCATGCATCACCCGGGATGCGCCCTCTTCTTCAAACCATATTGTTGATTTAGTCTACTTGAACCCCATGTTTGTAGAGTAGAGCTTCAAGTGGACCATAGACTAATCTATACTCTTCGTTATCGTAGTTACCAAGTTTTTTAAGACACCAAACCAATTTGAAAAGTCCAACGAAATAGGTTATAGTGTAGCAACTCAAACACGTAAACAAAATCCGTAGTACCCGAAATCCGGCAACTATGCCAAAAGGAAACCCAGTATAAAATATTGTACGATACATAAAGTTTCCTATGGGAATCCAGACACTATCCATAATAAGTTCAGTCAAAAGTACCGAAACCAAAAAGCGGAATACTGTTACTGTGATCACAAAACCTCTTGACGTTGCGTATGCATATCGAAACTGGAAACGACTGAAGAACGAAATGACGGTGGCGAAAAATATAGCGGATTCCGCATTTGGGATTAATCGGTGACCATAACTAAATACAGTATTTATCAAACTAATGCGTGTTACATGCAAAAGGGTTCCTAATAACACGAAGTAGCAGGATGCGGCTATTTCTGTTCCCTTGGAAAGTAAAATCAAGCCAAATAATGGAAGACGCATATTTTTTTCTCAATAAAGCGATTTGAAAGCGCTAACCTGGATACTCTCTTCTAAATTTTGAATAATTTGTCAAAATCAACACTATAAAATTTACATTAAAAAAACTTCCTCAAAAACAAATTATAAAAAATATATTATCCACTAGTGAATGTACTCGCACGGAAATCGATTTTGAAACGAATAGAATATATAATTAAATTTATGAGATATCAATTTTTTCTAATTTCAACAGCAACTTTGATTAAATTAAGTTCATTTAAAGTAAAGTTTTCATACAAATTTAAAACAAATATTGGATTAAATTTCCGTATGATCGTAACTAGTGAATTACGGTGGGAGGAAAGCATAAAATATCTAGAGGTCACTTTTGACAAACAGCTTAATTGGTATAAACATATGAAACGATTTAGTTGCTCTAAAATTCTACATCTCCTTAAGCCGCTCTTTAATAATAATCGCTTCAATCTCAAAAATAGAAAGTTATTGTAAACTCAATTAATTAGGCCAGCACTACTGTACGGATGTGTAACATACAGCAAAGCCTCAAATACTGCCATAAAGCAATTACATATAGCACAAAATCTGGCTTTAAGAAGACTAACTAAGATTCCTTCGTATATTAGAACAACAGACATGCATAGAGATCTAAGAATCGGCTCAGTGAAAAAAAATATCAAGTACAGAGCTTTAAAATTATTTACAAAAGTTGATAAGTTGCCCAACCCCGCCCTAACAAACCTTAAGTCCACCTCAGGAATCACTGGAAATTATTCTGATCTACGGTCCGTCATCAGTTAGAAGATAAATAAATGATAATGATTCTAGTATAGTTAAAGTTAAGTGTGGGGCAGGGATAGCTCTAACTCAAATCACAACAACAACAATATATAGTGAATTAATTTAGATTTGTGTTATACGAAAGACAGAATCGACTTGATAAGCTCATTAAGGAAACTCATTAAGGAATTTCTTGCTTAGTTTTGGATTTATTTTTGAACATAGTCTCCTTTGGGACTATACACTCTCTGCAACACCAATATAATTTTTTTTACCATATGAAAATCAGAGTTTCTAAAGTTTTCAATATATTTATTAGTTGCAGAGATACTGTCTGATTGAAATCTTTTCTTTATACGCCAATTTTTCAAATTTGGAATTAAAAAAAATCCTTATAACGTAATTCTTACCAATTTTCCTGTTATAATCGATCACGAATTAGCTAGGTTGTTATAGTTCCCACGAATTTCAAACGTCTAACTTGTCTGAAAGCTATCACGTATTATTGCTAGTTTGATGTTCTGCCTTTTTCGAGATAATCAATCATGATTACTCTAGCTGCATCCCATAAATCAGATGTTCTAACATACTTATTACAACTTTGTGTATGCGGGATTACTTCAAATTAAATTAATTAAATTAAGTCCTTCATTTTATTCATATTACTACATTAACAACTTATCATTTATTTCTTGCATATATATGTCTTCCAAAGGAAAAAGAAAGAGAACTATATTAAGAGAAGTTAACAAGATTATCACAATCTAAAATGCTTTCAGGGAATTACAACCTAAAACTCTTTAAGGATTGCATAGAGCCAACAAAAAATAACCTAAGAATTATTACGGAATTACTAACCGATCACTGTAGATTGAATTATCATGTAACACAGTTAGGAATTCAATCAAACTCAGACTGCAGATACTGTAGAAAAGGGAGAGAAACCGCATACCATATGCTAAGAAAGTGACCGGCATGGATGAACAAGCGAAAGAAACACATAAGGGGATATTTTATGAAACATGAGGATTCAAGACTACGAAGATAGGGCCTATACTGTCTTTCATTAAAAAAATCGGACTTGGAGGAACACTCTTATCCGGTTAAAGGGCACAATAGATCCTTTAGGTCGATATTAACGTAATATTTTTCTTTTTAACCAAACTCAATATTATTGTAAACAGAACATTTTTCGTGATAAGAATTTAAAATTTTACCAGATAAATTTCACCAGATGACTGCAAATAGAGCTTGCTATAATTTCAAGAACCTATGCTGCAGTTTATTACAAACTGATCGACTTTTTATGGAAAAGTGAACTAAGAAAATACTTTAAAATTTTTTTGGTATTTAATCTATAAGATTTCCTTAAAAATTCTTACTGGTTAAGAGCCTCTGTATATGTTCATGGATATCAAGAAATAGAAATCGATAAATATAGATATAATTCTATTTTAATTGTCGTAAGAAATACAAAGTTACAAATAGAATGGAGAACAAAATTATTATTTCGTTATGTATATGATGTATTCTCTTATAACAACATAATTATAAAATAAATTTTAAACACATGATTATAGATATACTGAGCATTAAAATGTTAATCGAAGAGTACATTATTAACGTTGAGTTTTATATATTACATGGCAATCAAAAAAATTGTGAGCTCCCTTTAATTTCCCGTTGAATTGAATTTTTGAATAATTGAGGTCGTCTCCGAGACAGTCATATACCAACATAATAGATTTAGATAAAAAAAGATCATTTAAGGAACATCACATATTTCTAACAACATATGATGTTTACTATTATTAATTGCTATAGGAATCATCTGGAATCATTTGAGAAGAGAAATATTATAGAAATAAAATCGTAGCATACCTACAATTTCCGAGGGTTTACATGATACTCCAATTGTGCTCACAGACTTCAGTAACAAACGGTAATCTAATGTTAAAAAAATTCGATTTTATCAATTTCCTAAAGTGAAAAGTAGGAAGTTAGTGAAAGACACACTGAGTAGTTGTGGTTTACGTACATGAATATCCTATATTTCTTCTGTTTAATTAAATGAGTTGAAAGTTTTTCTTGTAATTTTTTTATAACATACTCCTACACTTCATTATAAGTACTCTTCTTTTCCCATCCACATTTGCCCCATCCACATTTGCATTTATATCTTCTAATTGTTTCGTTTTATTTTACGGCGGTGTTTTCTTCCCACAGCATTCCTATTATCATATTTTTTATATTTGTTGAGAAACCAAATCATCTTATAAAACCCAGCGAAACTCGTTAACAGATAACAAACGTGAAAAGTTATCAAAATACGAACTAAACGAAAAGCAATAGATATCTTGTAAGGGTAACCCATATACAAAAACAAGTTGTATAGTTTTAGTCCTGCAGGGATCCACACATAACTCATTATTAATTCGGAGACAACTACATTAATAACAAGTCTCAATGATGTCACTACGAATATTAGGTAAGGCGAGGTTCTTTCTGGATATCGGAATAGAAAGCGACTGAGAAGCAAAATCAAAGAACTCAGAAACAATACGGATTCAAAATTTGGTACTATATTTACACCAATACCGAGCATTGAGTTGATGAAATTCATCTCCGAAACATGCAAAATGACTCCTAATATAACGAAACACCACGATTCGTATATATCTCTTCCTGTGGACATTAGACTTAACCCAAAGCGTGGTAGCACCATATTCTCTTCTTTTGGTTTTGTTGGATTCCTTAAATGTACTCTTGATACTTGACTGGTAGTAAATTTCTTTCACCAATGTTGCTTTAATAAAAATTTTGTTTTCTTTCCAATTGTTTAAAAAAATATGTGCTATGAAAATGGATGTTATTGATCGGAAAAAAATTGAAAATGATTTGTATCTGAAACGAAAAATTAATACAATTTTTTTTAAATTTCAAAGTTTATTACGATTGAAATTTTTCGATTAAAAAGAATTAAATTGTATCATACTATATCTATACAGTTAGTTTAGAAGATAAAACCGAGACTTATATTATGGAGTACTTCTTAAGGGCGTCTGAGATCAGAATGTTAGAAGCATTTAATCATATATATGATAATATTAAATATTATAAATTTACTAAAAATGAGCAAAACCATGATCGTTATTGCCACAACAATTATTATAGTAACCAAGTGTTGATTTTGTTCTTAAGACCTATATCATGCACAAGCAAGTGTCTTATCATCTGATTAAGTAGGTTAAGAGATCTGTGACGTTAGAGCATTAGACACTAATGTTAGTTTAGCTAGACACGTCTGTTTGACAATAGATTTTAGTAACGTTAGCTATTTTGCTGGTATTGATTACTTCTCGAGATATTAATGTTTAAAGGTATAAGTATTTTGTAAAGTTTTTGCATTATTTACTGTCACAATACTTCTGGAACAGGATATTATAAACACGAAATAAAACTAAAGCAGAAGTATAAGAGCAAAAACCTGACCGTAATAAAGGCAAATGAGTATGGTAGGGGTATTAACGGTATGCCCGCTTTGCACGGATCAAGAACAATTCCTCTCGTGTGCCAGACTGTTTCTACCTACCCTCCAGGTGTAAAGAAGTCTACAAAAGTTACTTTAGTTGCAGTAACTTATGTACCTCACTCAAACATTGCAATACATCAAAAAAGTACGCAAGCCATCTAACGCTGACTAGTACATACAATTCTCAGATTAATCACATCAGCTCGCCATCTAGTGTGAGTATTTATTGCTAGTAGTTCACATTGCTAAAATTCTAATTTTAAACCCCAATATCTCTATAATTAAGCCATATTATTATATAGCGTAGTGGAAGAAATTCTTCGAAATAGCTATCTTTATTAAAATCGATTGCCAAATGGACCGGCCCTGGAAATCGAAATGATGCTTTAATGTCACATTATAGTCTTCAGGTTCTTAATTTACTTTTATTAAGACAGATATTCTATATCAATCTTTTATTTTATTTTCAGTAATGTTTCATCCATTCATTGTATATAGAATTTATATTTATAAAATTTATTAAATATATTTTTTTAAACACTAGAAATAACACTATTTCAAAGAACCTAGCAAATTATTTTATTAGAATAATCTGACTAGTAATTAATTTTGGTGCTTCTGTATAAAAAAAAATTAATAATAAATGAATAATTTTAAAAATAGAATATTATGAAAACAAATCATTCATAGATACTGAATACTCCTATAGTTCAGACAGACTTAATTTACACTAAAATAAAATAATTTACATATCGCGTACTTGCCAATCGCCACCAATCTCCAGCTCCGAACTGATCGCTAAATAGTGAACCAAATATCATTCGAAAATTATCTTTTTCACTGCCGCATAATAAATTAATAAAAACTTTGACAGTAAAAACCAACGAACATGTGATTTCAATTTCAATACAAAAGTATCTCAAGCTTGTAAGCCTGTGTATCCGACAACGATTTGAAAATGTTATTGAAATGGGATTATTGTAAAACCAATCGGATTTGAAACAAAGCGTTATTGTTTAATTAATATTTGATCTTCGCTTTAATTTTCTTCATTGAAAGCAACAATAAACACGGCTTTAATATCGCATATCATTCGGTTTTATGATACTACAAATTGAGGCATAACAGTTTAAAATGAAGCACCGACTTTATGACTTTTTGTTGCTTTGCTAATCAAACGGCATTTGTAACACAAACAACGAAGATTCATGTGACTCCAAGAAGATCAAACAAGAAAAAAATAAATTAATATATAAATAAATAAATATTAGTTTATATGAAATACTGCAATTCAGCCTAAACGTGAGGGTGTATTTCACAGAGACATAAACTTTTCTAAACTATCTCAACCTGTTATTGTGCAACGAATTCCGAAGACAACCTCAAACTATTCACATTCGTCTACTAATAGAGAATTCTCGCATTCCTGAAAATGTCACAGATAAAATTCAAAGCTTGTGAGTTTCTAGCTTTAAGTTTTCATTTCATTGAAATATAATATGTATGTATTAAAAAACATTTAAATTAAGATTTGTCTAAGCAATGCGTGACACTCAATAATTTTCTATTTACTCCAAATGTGTTGGTTAAACAGATTGCTTTTAAAAAGTTTTAGAAGTTTTATAGAAGTATGCATTGTTTTGATTTTAAATGATTTTTTTTTGAACAATTTAACTATATAGGTATATTCAGAAAGTAAATGCTTCGTAAACACTAAATATTTAATGAAACTAACTACAATAAATGTTAGATTAGGTTTAAAGAACGCGTGTTGATGTTCACATCAACGGTAGCACTCTTACTGCTTTGCCCATAAACAGCCAGAAGAAGGTGAGTTGGAATAAACATTGTTTCCATCCATACTGATATTGATCCTTGCATTATCCAGTGGGTATTATTAAACCATTGCATTTTCCAGATGAAATTAAGGTGCGCCGTTTAAGTCTACTCTCATTGTCTCTGCCAAGCTACCGATGAAATAAAACCGCGAGGTCTATAGTTCCAAGCAGAGTCTTAGAGTGCGATTCAAAGATTCCATTTCGAACTAAAGAGGTTTTCGAACAGAAGTGAAACAACAACAAAAATTTATTTTTTTTAAATTATATTAATTAATTGAATTTTTGGCTGACCATACAGCTGTTTCGAGTATTGCCAAATACCCTTCATCAGTGGTCTGGGAAATAATTCTTATATTTAATTATTCGTAAATAATTATTTTTGAGACTGCAAGTACCAGGAATCGAACTCGGGTCCTGCCAAATAAAAGCAACTTCAAACTAAAGCAACTTCTGCACAGTTCGCTTCTTGTCAATTTCTGTTTTTCAAAAAGATTAAAGAACAGTGTCCCATTACCATAATATGAAAGAACTATTAGCCTTTGTGACCACATCTGCTTAATCGGTAGTAGTTTTCATTTTCATATTGATATATCTTGACTTATAGGTGTCGTATATACTTATAATTTTTAGTAGCTTTTAAGTAAAACAAGCATAAAGTTATCTATCATAATTCAAAGTTACAAGTAGTTTTAAGGACTTCCAGCTTTAGTTAGCATCCAATACACCCAAGCGGGCATGTATAAAATATATGTTAGTAAGAGGCGTAGAAGAAAACAATTGTAAGAGGCGTAGACGATATTGAATCTTTATTATTGGGTTTAAAATATTATGGACATTTATTGTTATATGGCCTAAAGCATTTTGTCAGTTTTATTTTCAAAAAAACTAAAATAATCCAATCTCAGGGCATAATATTTTGGCTCCTTGACTGCTTTAGATTTTGAAATATTATGGGGTATATTTTCTGAAAATCATTTCTGAATCAATTTTAAAAGTGCATTATCTCTTTACTGTTAACAAAATTGCATTTTTCTTTGCACAAGAGTTTTTTCTGTATATTAAACTGACTAATCAAAAAAATAATATAAATTTGATATGCATATATATTATATATATTTATAAAATTTGTACTAGAAACATGTTTATTATAAAAAAGATAATGAAAATTATTTTTCCCTCTCAATTCACAAAAACGATTCTTAAAAATTGCGAGAAGCTGAATGGTTGCTTTGAATGGATTGGCTGGTGACAGAGTTTCCTTTTTTGTCAAAGTAATACAAAAGTACTGGTTTAATATTAATCTGCACAGTGACAACATTTGGAAGATCAACAAAATCAAACATAGTAAAAGAATGTAGAGAGGCAATTAACGAGTTAAATCGGTTGGCTGACATCACCCTCATCTGGGTTCTTGGATATAGGAACACCGAAGAGAACGAAAAAGCTGACAGTTTAGCCCGCTCTGGTGCTTCCCTGTATATGTCCCCTGTGGTACCGGTTTACGAAAAATCAGCAAAAAATTGCTGAGGTATATGGAAGTTATCTAATGGCCTACCACTCCAACCAACCAACCAACAACTTCTACTCTGAGAGATATGAGCAATTTGTAATAAATTTATATATGATGTGAATTATACTTCGTATAACTAAAATTTTTTTATGATAATGATGATCCAATAATAGTGTCAAATGTTTTATTCTCTAATTATTTTATTATTAATTTTGTATTTAATACATATATTTATAATTTATTATTCATATTTGAATATGCATACATTATAAATATTTTATTATTAATTTTTAAATATTATTTATATATATATTTAGTAATAGTTTTATTTTTTTTTTTTAAATTAATAAAAAATTTGGTAACATTCAATTAAATACACATTTACAAAAAAGTTAATTATACGTTTATATATTATAAAATGTATTACATTGTATTCTATACATAATAATTGTGTTGTATATATGTGCATGATTATGTCTAAAACATAGTTTAGTTATTTGTACATACACTACTATTATGTATTATTACATACTACTTACAAGCCTTGAAAAATCTAATGTTGTGGAAAGAAGAATACTGAGCTGTAAATCACTATAAATACGTATATAAGTACATACGAATCTATTTATGTATATATCGTTTATGCATTCATTATATATTGAAAGTTCATTGCCTTTCGTGCTCAAGCATCTCAGAACTGCAAAGCAGCCAAACAATCCCAAAGAAGCCAAGGTCGTTTCGGTTTTGGATGCACTTAATCAATTAGTGTGAAGCGCAGGTGGGAAACCTGCGGCCATCTTTTAATGTGTTTAATGACCTTGCGTTGAGAAGTATAATTTTATGGTTTTCATAATAGTGGCCATCTTTAGAAATGAATTAAGATCTAATTGTTGGAAAGTATACGACACTTCTGTATTATATTCTAGAAAATGTTAGCCACCTCCGTTCAAAGTTATTATTCAATATATCTAATAAGTGATAACTATTGTTTAGAATTTTCCTTAATCCTAGCAAAGACTGAAAGTGCGAAAGTGCTTAGAATTGCGTCGATAAGTGCCGACAATGTGCAATTGGAAAAATCGAGGCACCTGTTTTCGGTTAGCATGAAATTAACAAAATCCAATCAATAAAACTAAGAGAAAAAAATTAAAATTGGCAAGTGATGGAAGTTTATGATACTCGCTTACAATAGTCGGAATAGGAAAAAAATTACTAATACAGAGCTTAAAAAATAGACATTAAAATAAAAATACAAAGTGAAGATTGAATGAAAAGGTAAAAAAACTTTGCAAGATCACAATTAACATTTACCATGAAGCAGGTCTTCTGCGGAGATTTCTATTAAAATAGGTGCAGCAGCTCTGTTTGTTTTGTACTTTGTTGGCAGTTCGTTAATAATTTTTAATGTTGCCAGTTTTATTTTTATTTTTTCTTATTAGTCTCGTTTTTCTATTTTCTTTTCTTTTTGTATTGAAGCTGCTAATTTATACTGCTCTGCTAACATCCATTTTGATGTCTTGAGATGCATTTGGAAACAGTTCATAACATTATTTGCGAATTTCTAGTATTTGCATTTGCTTTGTGGAAATCTCTTAGGCGGATCCGTTCAAGCGATTAGGTTTTTACATATTTTATTGCAGTCAGTGGCAAATATTTCAAATAACTTTGAATAAACTTTTGCATTTTATTGTTCAATATTATTACAATTTTTAAATTTATTAAATGTTAGAGGTAAAAATAGCTGCTTTCAAGCATAAAGTTCAACCAATAAATTAAGTTAATTTAGAAAACAGTTATTTCCTTTAAATGGAATAACAAATTTTTAAGGTGAAATGAATGGACTGATTTTATGATTAGTCGCAATACTCGTACTCGAAGGTATAGAAATTTTACCATCACAGAAATACCTAAATTATGTTTGATCTATGAAATATATGTCTTACATGTCAGTTACTTAATTAACAATTAATCTAAAAGAAATTTGATAATATTATTGTTATTAATTAAATCTAATTAATGCTGATATATATAATGTCTAAGATATATGAAATTCATTCATAAATTTTATATATTATTTGATATATATAATGTGTAAGATATATGAAATTCATTCATAAATTTTATATATTATTTGAACTTTATATATAAAAAAGTGACGATTTCAAGCAACTTATATTATTCGAGTGAGTTAGTCATTTGCAAATCCATTTTTTTCAGTTTTTCATTTTAAAAATCTTTAGCTTAAGTAGGACTTTGACAAATCCATATTTTACACGTAGAAAGACATTTTCATAATTGAATAGAATCAAGTGGTCTATTTAGGGGACTGATTATAGAATAGAATCCCTCCCCTCTTTCACAAAACATAATACAAAAATTTAGTGAACTTCAAAAACACTGTCCGAAAAAAAGTTTTCCAATTTAGTGCATCACTTGCTTGATGTTTAAAATTGACTCTACTTACTCTACTCTATTTAAGCAATATATTAGCTTAGAAAATACTTACATCATTTTTTATCAAATTTGAGTCAAATAAATCTTGTGTTGGTACAAGTATTTCGATTAGTTAAGGTTAGCTTATACCGGCGATCTCAAGGGGATCCACTTAGGTCTATTGGCCAATTGTGTTACCGTATGTATAGGAATAACGCAGAGTTTAAAATCACCTAGAACTACTAGAGAAGCCCAAAATACTGTTCAATGTCAGCTCTTGTAATTGATCAAGGACATCAAGAAAGAAGGATCCTAACGTGTTAAATCGCTGCACTCAGTATTTCGACTAACATGTCGACTAACATGCAGTCTGAATAAAATTATTGCATGTAAGGACAACTTGGGAATACTTATATTTCTATAATTTATAAATATTATATTATATTTTATGAATTCTTCACGTATTTGTTATTGTTTTATTTACTTTCCAATTAAACAAACTATACATAAATTTTATGAAATATTAATTCAAGTTTATATAATCCATATATCTAATGAGTATTACAATTTATGATAATCTCATCCAAATAATTGCCATAATTGGAAATTTAAGATATGTTATCTCTCGAACCTTCTAGCATGCTTAATTTCGTCTAATAGATCCAAAGCTAGTAGATCACCAAATTATTTTATGAGGGTTATAACGTGTCATTGTCTGATAGGTAGACGTTCTGCTATACTCAGAGCTTCTTCAAATAACGATGGTCTTCTTTCGTTTCTCATACTAAGAAAATTCTATTTCATTTGAAAGTAAACAAATATAATTCCATATTTAGAGTTTTCATGAATGTGTTGTTTGTGAACTAAAATCTTTAATTCCTTCTGAATTGATTTTGTTAATTTAAATCAGTACTCGTAATATACGTAGGTCATATTTAGTACACTAACTAAATTTGATTTTTATAGTTCTGAAGTTAAATTAAACCTATCATCTTAAATATTTACGATATAGGCCATGTATTTCAACATAAAGTTAATTGTGAAGATCTTGAGATATTGACATATGTTTACTGAACTTTATTTCTAAGTATTAAGCATTTGAATAAATATATATATATAATTTTTTTTTCAATTGTTAAATAACCGAATACTTTTTTAATTTCAGTTTATAAATCAGTAATCTAAATCTCAACCATGAATCAAGATAATCCGTATGCGGTAAGTGAAAAATATTTTTATTGATAGTATGTATAATAAATCTAGATTCTAGTTAGTTCTCTTAATATTAAAACCAATTTTGTTTTATTAACTAATATTTCTTATTCAAATTACCACCGCCAATTTTATAGTGAGTTTTTATAATTTCTATGAAACTCTATTGCAACATTATTGCTACTTCGGTACTCCAAATTTGTAGAATCGCTAAATTGGCACAACTTTATCCGAATAATAACTAATATCACTAAATGGTTAATTATACCTTATAATTAAGTCATAAAATTACAGAACTTGTAAGACCTTTATGTGACACAATTCAATAAAAATAAAGTGACTATAAAATAAAGTATTCTCAGTCAATACTAACTGGTCAATTATTGCCAATTGTTAAAATCGTCTATTTCATTTAGTTTGAGATTAAACTAATAAAGTAGTTATAAAATTAAAACCTAAATTAATATACAAAAGATAATAATAAAACATGGATTATATAGGTTATGTGTATTAATAAAAATATATATACATATCTATATATATACATATAGAGTAAAGAAGAAGTGAAATGAGAAGAAGACCCATTGTGAGTAGTGAGTAAAAGACTCATTCCACGATGGTTACACAATGAACTTTTATTTTTATATATTTTTGGAAAATTTTAATATTTGATAGTGATTCCAAAATTTTTTTATGAATAGCACACCCATCGTTGCTTTATTTTGGATTCAACTAATCTTATATTTCTTCGTACAATTCTCATCTCATGATATGACAGTGAGAAATAATTAAATATATATAGATTTATTTAAGAATGGATGAACCATTTGATTTCGATTTATTTAATTAACATTTAATATAAAAAATAAGAAATTTAAAAATATTTAAAGATTTCCACTGATCTGCTAATATGGACGTCCTTGCAATGCTTTTTCTTCTCTTCTCATCTCTTTCTGTTGAGAAACGCAACCTTGTCTGTAGCAATCTTAACTGATGCAGATATCATTTTAAACAAATGTATAATATAGATTTATAACACATTATTCAATTTTATACAATATCATATTTTAAACATATATCTATATTTTTCCACACATTTGCAATGAAAATAGACTACGCATTTTAAATGTTTGTAAAATTGTTTTTAAATGTTAACAAGTAATCAAGGGAAGTGCTTAACTTTCTTTAAAATTAAGCAAGGAAAAGTCCTTAACTTCCTTAACTCAAAATAAAGCGGCATATATTATTAATTGCCTAACTAAACTCTTTTTATATTAATTGCAAAATAAACTTTCAATGCTCGGTTAAATTTATATAAACTTATATAAAGTACGATGAATAAGCATAAAAGTCCTTATTAACTGGACCAAATATATTATATTATTATTATTTGCTTGGTGTATTTACAATGTATTTATCTACAATACATTGAGTGAAGAAACCGCTCTTAGTAAGAGTATAGAATGAAGAGTTTTTCCATAAGTGTCTGTCAAGAGCCTTTTGCCAGATTTCGTTCCATGAACCAAACTGCCGATGTTCAGCGTCGCCTACATGAACCTTGAGACTTCCACTCAAATGGCAGTGTTATCTTTCCAGAGTGCTTGTCCTATTCAATGCCACTTCCGGCTTTTAAACTCGACTTCTATTGGTACATTACCCGTGGCCAAAAAATTTTAAGTATATGACGGTGACATGTATTGATAAATACTTGCAGTGTCTGCTGCATACGTTCATTGACTTTTCACGTTTCAGATCCATATAGAAAAATAGATTTGATGCTGGTGTTAAAGTATTTCAACAAAATATAAGCTAGAGATGAGAAGTAATAATCATCAACAACAAATAATAATCTAGTGTTTAGCAACTCTAACCATTGCCACTGGGTCCCAAGTTCAAATCCCTCTAAGACCAAACTATTAATATACAATTTAAAATTAATGATGTTTCTATCGTCAGTAATCAGTAACACAAACCATAGCATTAAAACCGCAAACAAAGAGATTAAAGGATCTTTTTATAAAAATTTTTGATATTGAAGAAATTGTTCTGTAAGTTTCAAGGGAGTCCTCTGATACATTTTGTCTGCTTTAAGTTTTCAATCGCAGGCAGAATTTGTTTGCTTTAAGAAATTTTTTGCGTATATATCTATCTACCGTAAGTGTCAATATTTTTTTATTACAAAATGAAGAAGCATACAAATCACTAATTATTCATAAATGAAAACTGTAAATAGTAAGAAATAGTAAAAAATCAACAAACACTAAACTTTTCCAGATTGGCGAGGTGTAATTTTAGTCAATTATGGCCAACACTTTTTGGTGGTCCATGCAATTTACTCTGTGCTTTATTTGACCGATAAAATGTAATACGCCGAGTGTTAACATTTTAGTACAAAATAACATAAAACATTTGCCTTTGATGACGAAAATAGTAGAAAACATATTAAACACGCCCGTTTTGCATACTAAGTTTTCAGATTGGCACATCCAAGTGTTTTGCGTATAAAACAAAATTTATTATCGCAATTTAAAATGGGACAAATGTCATTAAATTTATGAGCTCAGACCATAGATGGCAGTAATAAAAACAAGTGTTCAGATGCCTTAAAATAGCACCGAAGTCAATCTTTTGGGCGCAATTTCCTTGTTTTTGATGTGCGCATCTTCATTCCTATGGTTGTTGTTGTTGCTGTTGTTGTTGTATAATTAATATTATTTACATAAACGAAACAAATTAAAAAGAAAAAAAAAATAATATTTGAAATATGATGTCATATTTTGCATTAAAATTATTATTATTATTATTTTAATTATTATTATCGAGTTAGCATTTATTACTAATATTTTACTGCGCGTTTGCAGGCTCTTTTGTTCACTTGCTCAAGTTTGAATTAATTTCGTTCGATTGGGTCGGAATTTTAGTCGACGAGATTTGGCATTTTCAGCGCTCAAAGTAGAAGAAAAAACTTCTTGCATAATTTAAAGAAAACTTAAATCGAAGAAGATGCCAGCCACCGAACAATCGAAATACTACACTAAAATTACTATCATTCCAGTAAATGTCGATATTTGAATATTAATTTCGGTTAAGCGTATATTTTATTATCTTAAGCTGATTTCGGTTGTAGAGAAGAGTCGGCATCGCTCATAAGTGATTTGATTTTGTTGTGATTACAGTGGGGCAAGTTAATTAGAAGCGTCCGCGGAGAAGCGAGGCATATTTAATAAATGCGAGCATTTTAATAGGTTTTTGACAGAAATGTTGCCTTATAATGAAATATTTGAAAATTTAATTATAATTTGAAAATATTTTTTTCATTTTTTCTTCATTTTTCCACCCATTTAGGATTATTAATGTTTTCGTGTTTTTCTAGAGATTAAATAATGGTTGAAATAATTTTAAGTAGGTTATCACAATTAATTAATTGAAAAACTAATAACAAAAACGAAATAAAATAAAATTTAAATATTTGGGTGTGAAATTGTTAGTTGATTCTATAAAAAATGTCATTTTATACATTTCGTACAAGGAAATAAAATTTAGAATTAACATTTTGAAGAGTGAAGAAGTTCTCATAAAACTTATATTGTTCTTGTAATCAAAAAGAATATTTCTATCATTTGATTTGCAATACTTATTCCAAAAATATTTTAAACCATTTCAAATTATTTTTTGTTTTAGAAACCACAATGCGGTTTCAGTCGTGATTATCCATATTATCCATATGACTAATTACCATTTCACACCGGCTTATTGTTACGTTACTATTTTCAACTAACTATTTATTTGTTAGTGGAAGTATCTCAATTTAATCAAGTTCATGTTGTTTAAAAAACACTTTAAGATTATTAAAGTTTATTTCCGATATTTTCTCAGAACACATGGAGACTATTAAAGTGAGTGGCTGCCGTTTGTTTTTAAAGAACGAGTATATATGAAAGAATGTTTCCTTTTTCATTGTTTGATTAGAGCTGCTGCTCTTCAATAGCCAGAAGCAAGAAACTAGTGCCCACGAGTCACCTGGCTGCACTGTTCATTCAGCGATAAAATTAGTTAAGAAATACAGTAAGTAATATTTACATTGGTTAATTGACAGGCTTTTAGATAGCGTCCTTTGCCGTCCCTCGGTTAGGCTTTTCTATTTCCGCTTTTCTAGCGATGTCCCCGAACATGGGACACAGGAATATTGTTTTATTCGTTTAATGTGCTTAAGCTCGCTTTGATTTGTTAAATATTTTAATGTTTAAATTCATAAGTTAAATTGTAACTTGCTATGCGATAGTAAAGCAATTCTATCTAACATATAGCAACTCTAATTGACAGTATATTGGCGATAGTACAGAAACGCTGTCCAATAGTATAGCCCTCTACTTTTACATTAATAAACTGCATGGTTATCCAATACTGAAAGAAGAATTACATACCAAATTGTTGAGAACGGTTAACATTTACCAATTACTGAACATAGCTTACCTCTTTCAATAGTTGATAACGAATCAACTTTTGGAGTACTGAAATTATTGCCACATTTAGACTATGACTTTCCGAAATTGTCAAGAATTTGCAAGTACTGAGATTGCTGCAAAGAGGAGGAAAGCAATCCCTTTTCAACTAACGGTTCAATATAACATCAACATTCTACTCAGGTCAGTAATAATAATTAATCAAGAGACTATGTTCTTCACATAATATAATACATACATTTAGATGTATGGTTGATTTAGCTTTTAAAAAATTGGATGATATTCTCATTTCCAATAACACAAAGAGTCAAGAAACGATTAATTAACGATTTTATTTATAAAATTTTTCCTTGAAATTAATGGTCAGCTATTATGACATCACTTCAATTATTAATAAAATACTATTAAGTAGCATTTTACTTAATCTTGGTATAATTTAGGAATCAGTGGATCACCATTATGTGGAATCATATTTTACTCTGTACTTATTTATTTAGCGTCTAAGATTTTATTTGATCTTGAGTAATTTTCAAGGATTAATTT